TATATTATATAGCTGCCATAGGAACGATCAGTCGAAAATTAAGTTGTTGTATGGAAAACTTTTTTGTTTTTCAAGACATCTTAACCATACTCGGCATTAACTTTTTTCCCTGTGCTTCTTAGATATGAACATTATGAAAACGTTGGGTCTGCAAGGGTATTAAATCTTCGGCTATCCGAAGATAGCCCTTCCTTCTCGTTTAATATTTGTGGCATCTATTATAATTTTTAATTTGTACAATAGTTTTTTGTCCATTTGAGGTATTAATATTTGTCATAATTTTCGTAAATCTGAACTGATTTGATAAAAATTAAAATAATGCCAAATCAATAGATATACCAACATATATAATTTAGGAAATATTAAACTTGATAATACGAGAAATGGGATCAAAATGGCGAATATAATCTTCCAAAAATAACTTTTCGACACACCGAAGACCTAATATCCTTATAGACATTAGAATACTCTTAACTAGGTCATAAAAAAAACATTGCCTTCGAAAAGTAATCCATTTCGTTATAAGGATCCTCAAAAAGATTTGAAAGGTTTGAAAGACAAAATATATCGGTTTCATCAAACACTGGAACTAAAAATTTAATTCTGTTGCATTCTGTAATTTGTCAGCTTGCTCTATAGATATTAATAAAAACTGTCTTAGGTTATTTTTCCACCTGATGGAATTTATTAGGCGGCCCAAGCATCATAGTTGTAATAATATTTATATTTTAGGTCGAACATTAATTTAATAGTTCTCATTGTAATAATTATTATTTATTTTTCTTTTACAACTCTTTCAACTAAAAGGCAGCATTTACAAAAAATCAATAATTCTTTATAATAACTTTATGTAATTATACTTTTTTTTTTGCAATCAATCTGATGGACCTTTGCTTTATTTTTAAATATTTATTTAAAAATAAACTAAAGGTGTGTGTTCAAGGTGGTACGAGTTAATCTTAATAAACAACGCGCATCTTAAGGCAAATAAACTGTAAAATAATAATAAATAGCCGGACTAAGTCAGGCAATATCCGCTAGTACTTGTACTAATTGAAGCATAGCATCTACATTGTTATATAGTTTATCTATAAGTATAGGGTTATAAAACTACCATTAGTAAAGTATGTTTTTATACCCTGCATCCATTGAAAGCGGATAAAAAAGGGGCATTATGTTTTGGTGCAAATGTGTGTAATAGGCAGAAGGAAGCATCTCAGACTCCATAAAGTTTATATATTCTTGATGTCCGTCCGTCCGAGTGAACTATAGCCGAGATTTGAAATGTAGACTATATATATTCTCTTGTACCATATACTGAATACGCGGATCGAGCTTATTATTTAATCTGTCGATTTGTCTCCCAGTTTATATACGACCGATAAAAAGTAGATTTTGATACAAGCTTTTTAAGCGTAACTCGCATATAAAAGTGTTAGATACACCAAAGTGGGTAAAGGATAGACATATCTAGAATATTTCACTCTTGAGATAGCTCCTCCCTTTCTCCACAAAATTGAAAAAAATAAAAAACTTTTGAAGCAATAACGCTTTTGTAGAACGCATTTCGCAAAGCGAGGATATTAGTAAAGACAGCTCGACGCGGGTTTCAGGGTATTTCCGAGTCGGCCACTCCCAGCTAGAGCAGCTTTGTTTTATTTATGTTTTCATAATCTCCCAAGTGGTTAGCTCAATCATTTCAAGGTATTGACTATTGCCAGATAATTGCGTGGATATATGTACATCGCCGCCTGATAATAGCCAAGCAGGCGATGTAACGGCCAAATGCAATCGATGTCTGTTGATGCGGTCAGTCAGCTGCGTTTTGTGTTATCAACTGAAAACCAGGCCGAAACCAGTTGCCAGCTTCGTGAGTCACTTCGTTAAGTAACTTCGTAATAAATCGTTTGACTTCGCCCACCCACGAGGTGTGCCACAAGAGTGTGTGTGTGTGTGTGTGTGTGCATTCGGTTCGGGTCGATGGGCACATTTATTACACCTGGGGAAATGACGTGAACATCACTTCAAGTTCGTTAGTTGCGGCGTGCGGGCAGCTATAAAATAGTGTTTGCAACAAGTTGCAGGCTCAAGGCGATTTGTTAATGTGAAATTTCTATACGATAAAAATAAATATAACAATATATGGTCTCTGTATAAAATATCAGGCTAAGCATGTGATAAAACTAAGCCCTGCGCATTTTTTTTACATATTTTAAAGTGTGACCGTGTGTGTGCGTGTGTGTGCATGTGTGTGCCTGTGCTCGTGTGTGTGTGTGTATTTCGAGTGGATAAACAAACGTTCTGTCTTCAAATTTGTGTTTAGTTTCTTGGCTTTCGGGCTTATCATAGGGCCACACGGCCACAGCAAATGCCGATAAGAAAACGTTGCGCAGTCTACGCCGTCCCTGGCACTCGTCTTATAACTTTTAATTATAAGAGTTTTTACGAAGCAACTGTTTCCACGTTTTGCTCTTTTTAGAACGTGTCCAGACAATCAATCAAATTTATATGAGTACAGCCAAATATATGGCAATGTTATATTCAATTAGAGTCCAATAAGTCTTTTGGCTTTTGCCGCCCCTATTGTCTCGGTTAATTTTCGCTTTCTACATTTGGCTGGTTCGGGGAGTTCGAGAGTTGGAGAAATTCTTATGCATATTCATGGCTAACAAATATGGCCAACTGTCAGCTGCTCTACGACGGCCTTATTGGGCTAATTGGCATGAGTCAAGTTCAGTTTTTACAACAAACAGCTCCCAGTTGCCTTTCGTTAATGCAAATTCGCGACGCTTTTGACTTAAAAGCAGTCAACGTATTCCATGGAATTCAATATGCCGCAAACAGAACTCTGTCTACAGTTGATAATAATATTATAATAACAACAATAATAACAATAACAATAACAATTGCCGTCGCTTACTTTGTAAGTTTATAAGCAAATAACCAAAGTAAACAAAGTCTAAAAATTTATAAACTAAGTTTCCTGTGTATGTGTGTATATATTTATGCTTTTTAGCAGTCATGCGATATATAGTTTCTTTATCGGGCCTTTACAGACGTGCGTACATATTTATGGTGCCATGTTGTGCTTACTTGTGTCTGACTTTTAGTTTTTATGATATAAACAAAATAGTTTTCATTTAGACAAATTTCAGATAAAAGAGCTCTGGTTAGCTTAGCTTCAAGTTTCTTTTATTGTATAACAAGTATTTACCTTTAGCATTATACAATATATGTTGCTTATGTTTAGAATGTATTGTTAAGGTTCTTGGAATTTTTTTTTAAAGAAAAAGTATTTGGTAAATCTTATTTTTGTTATCAACAATCAACAACTGCTCTAGAAATCAATATACCCATTAAATTCGAGCTAATTTTTCCATAAACGCTGTGAAGCTGGCCATGTTAATTATTATACATTTAAATCGATTTGCAATTGCATTTATTAGGACTTTCGGCTATTTATACCTTTGTAGAGGGTATTATTATGTTGTAACTAAATGTGTAACGCATAAGAAGACAATTCCGACCCCATAAGTTATATATATTCTAGATCTTGCCATGTCCGTCTGTCTGTTTCTATGCAAACTCGTCTATAGCTGCCATAGGAAAGATTGCTCGATAAGTAAGTTTCTTTTATGGCAAATAATTCTGTTTTTCAAAATATTTTCATCAAACTCAGCATTTACAAGCTTCACTATTCTCACATATCTACAAATGTGAAATGTTGGAAAGAGTATTAAATCTTCGGCGTGTCGAAGATATCCTTACTTTCTCATTATGGTTTATACTACATTGTTTAAAATTGTCGCTTTAATCTTCCAATTTAATCATCAAATTTAATTTAAGAAGTAAAGTGTGACCAGCTTCCTTTTAACTGTTGTTAACAACTACATTCTATCGATAAACTTTCCCTCTGAATTATCGATTTAGCTAATTGATTACTTTTCGTGCATTTCAAAAATGTGACCAAATGGTCTAATTTTCAAATGTTGCTGCGACTTGCTTTTGCTTAGAAAGTCGCCAATTATTGCTTTCAGTGCAACTTGTAATTGAAACTGGCAAAGCTGTCCACACTTTCAATAAGTATTCTTGGCAACTACAAATTGCTTTAACTGAACGAGAGACTACTTGAAATGTTTTGCAAAGTTTTCAATGCTAAACTTGAATAGCAGCCAAATTGAATGCGCCGTGAAAGTTGAGTCAGGAGTTGTTTGCATTTGAAATTGATTAGAACTTTTAATTTGCATTATAATTGTTGCTGCACAGATACCAGATCGGAAATGTTTAGAAACGAGCACGAGAAATTTCTTTATCAATTGTGTTAACTTTCTTATATCGCTTCAATGCGATGACGATGACATGACAATTTAGAACCAGTCACAACCAACTTGTTTTAGTTCTTTTTTGTCGTTGTTATAGTTGTTGTTGTTGCTGTTGTTGTATTTCCTCTCTCTTTTCTTAACAATATCTTGTACATTTTCTTGATAACTCGCAGCTCTCGTGAGTCGTGTGAAAAGGCGCGTCACAAGTTGTCTAATTACCATGAACTGGTCGCAAGCTTAAACAGCCCGAAAAGAAAAGAAACACAAAACGTAATCAAATTGAAATTCGAGCGAAAAACCCAAAACGAATAACCCTCTGAAAATGTCAAGTTTGGTAAAGAGAATACGCAGCATGTTGGTTTCGCAGCCCAAAAGCGAGTCCCCAAACATATCCAATGAGGACTTTAAGTCGAGCCGAGATGCCAACTCGCGCAAATGTAATACACTGCCACGCAACTATAGTGGCGCACAAAAGTCTTCGATCAGACGGCGAGCGAGTGTCTCGAGACTGTGGAATCGTATCGTCTCGAATTTTGAGTCTTCCAATGGGGGAGTATTTTACACAGACACGGTAAATGGTTAAACGTTAAACTAAATTCACAGCCAGTCAAACGATTTTTAATCCCAATTCAAGCATATTCTAACTTATTTAACCATTTTCTATCTCTATTCTTGCAGGGCGAATATATAAAACATCCAGTTCTATACGAGCTCAGTCATAAATATGGCTTCACAGAGAACCTGCCCGAGAGCTGTATGTCCATACGCCTCGAGGAGATCAAGGAGGCCATACGGCGCGAGATACGCAAAGAGCTGAAGATTAAAGAGGGCGCCGAAAAGTTGCGCGAGGTCGCCAAGGATCGCCGTTCGCTCAGCGATGTCGCCGTGCTGGTCAAGAAGAGCAAAAGCAAACTGGCCGAGCTCAAGTCGGAGCTGCAGGAACTCGAAAGTCAAATACTGCTAACATCCGCCAATACGGCGGTCAATAGCAATGGTCAAGGTAAGCACAAAAATATTGCCCAACCTAAGATTATGTAACTCAAGCCAACTTTCCCAACTGTCGCTTCTTTTACTCCGTTTTTTCTTGTTACCACTGCCCTCTTAAAAACAAATCGTTAAAAGTATCTCAAAAGTAACTTTAAGTATCGTTTTACGAGCGTTTGTCACGCAAACCTGTCAACTGTCTCGTTATGCATCTATCTATATACATTTGTATCTTTGTCGCGCTTTGCGTGTTCTCTTACATTACCCAGGCGCGAAATACTTGTGCGTTTATCGTTTGGGCTGGTATCTATAACAAAACACTTGCTTAGTGTCAGGTTATTTTTATTGTGCCATACCCTGTACTTATCAGAATTGGATGTCAGCGAGGGTATATGAATGCGTGTAAGCATCAAAAAAGGGATATTTGTGTTAAATTGTTTGTCTTAATACCTCAAAGTATCTCACAGTTGGGATAAGCAAAGTTTGGATGGATGTTTGGATAAAGAAATTTCAAGGTTTCCCTAATAAATCAATAAATAAACCATATACATATGTGCCTAGGTATATATGTATGTCCTGAAGATGGGCATTTTATTCTCCCACTTTTTCCAACTAACTACTCAGATGAGAACTTTTTATATATGTATTTTCTAGTAGAGCACTCCCAACTAGAGCAGGCTTTTTAATTTTTGTTGTATTTTCATTTTGTTTTCTTTTCAACTATTGACACAAGTGTCTTGAAATATTTAGCTGAATGTGACTGATCAGCGCTTCGGGTTTGTTCTACTGTCTCGCAGTTGTATCTGCTTCCGTGTTTGGTTCATGCCACCAGCTGCAGCCAGCGGCATGCATCTCAGTAGATTTCAACATCATCATTATCTTTATCATCATCAGCTGCGTCGTGAAGATCTTTAGCATCTGTGTTGAAAGCTTCATGGGTTTACATCTGCTCAATTGATTGACATGTTTGACAGCAGCTGCCAGCAAAGTGCAACAAACATATCTTAGCTGGTTTTAGTTTTGGTTTATATGCTGTTGGTGCAGCATAGATTAGCATTCGAGTTGGCCGGAAATTGTTGATAGAATGTAGATTTAAATATTCGCTTGATAAATAAACTATGGGAAAATTCTATCCGAGATCTGAATTAATGTTTATATCTTACATTAAGTCAAATTATTTATTTTGTTTAAAAAAGGCAGCTTGGTAGTTTTCTTAACATTTAAGGAACTCTTTCAATTTATTTAGATACATTTTCTGATGCTTTAGGTAATATTCAGTAGAGAAAATGTTTGTACGATTTGAATATGATATGATATATGATATCATTTGATTGTGATATGAAACTGACGTATTTTTAGTGTAAAGTCCGCAGTCTTTTCTTAATTTCCCTATATCTTTAGACCAACACTCGGCGATGCAAAGTCAGTCCAGTATCGGAGCTCGTAGTATCGATATTTTCTTTACAATCCCTACATCTATAAAACTGGCTTATTTCTATATCGGAACATCTCTTTAATCTAATACAGCAACTGCTCTTCAGGAATAAGTAAGCGAAAGGTTCTACCTGGGAATTAGCATGTTCTTCTTTATTAACTCTGATTAGGAGTCATATAAACCAGTTGAGATATCAAGCAATATATATTTTTCTGTACGAAGCATGATTAGATCAGGATATATTATTCAGACATATTCTAAAAATGTTTTTATCTGTTTTGAATTTATATAGATTTGCATTATGCAATGAATACCTTATTTAATTCGTATTCCCTTTACATAAATATGTATATTTAAGATAATAGATATTAAAATTGTATTCTCTATTATTTATTTCATTGTTCTAGACCTCATAAAAGCTGCAGATATTTATTCATGTTTCGCATGTCACCTTGTCATTTCCCGCGCTTGCCACAACTGTTGCACAGCAGCCACTTCCACCCCTTCCGGCCCCCTTGCTGCATTTTAATTCAAGTGGTCGTGTGCAATCAGATTAAACTGTAAATAAAGCGTGTCAAATAGCGCACGTGGGTGTCCGCAGCTGTCAGTCAAGTGAGGCGACCTGTGGACGTTGTTCCGAGTTTATCACAGTAATAGACGTGTTGACGCTTAAGTGACCCTTGAACTTTGACAGCATGTGGCTAAATGGGGCATTAGGTTAAACGATTTGACCCCCCCTCAAGAAGCTGACCTGTGCGGAAAACTGAAGCCAAGGGCAACTATTAAAAGCAAAGTGTAAAATTAAGGCATGAAAGTCATAAACAAAACAATCAGATACGTTGTAACTAGTGAAGTACAAAAGGGAAAGATATTCGACGGGAAGATACCCTATAACTAGAACTTGTATATAGAGCATATATGCATAGGTACTTGAGCCATGACCAATACACACTCTTAAGCCAGCTAAATATAGGTTATACACTTATTGATTGTTTTTATTTTTTGACTAAAACTCAGTTGTTTCGTCCTAGCCCGATATTCCCACCCCTCTCACCCCCATATAGAGAGCTAATGTACCCCTTCGTACCGATCATTGCTCCTGATGCACCCAACTACAGGGTATATATATAAGCTTATTTGTAATTCATACGCTTTCTATATCTAATTGGCTTTGGCTATGCTGTCAGTCAATATACCCGCTTATGACCCAACTACAGGGTATACACTTTTTTATAGTCCTACACATTCCAATAAAATCCAAAAAAAAAAACTCATTTTAAATATTTCGTATCATGTTTACAGAATCGATTGCCTTCAGCCTTGATGGCAGCGGCGTTGCCCAGCTCGGCGGAGCTGTTGGCGGCATGGGCGGGAACAATGCGATGGCTGGCGGCGGTAGTGGACCGGCGACGGCCAATGACAAGGTGCTGGCCTCGCTGGAGAAGCAGCTGCAGATCGAGATGAAGGTGAAGGCGGGCGCCGAGAACATGATACAATCGCTGGGCATTGGCTGCGACAAGAAGCTGCTCGCCGAGGCGCACCAAATGCTGGCGGACTCGAAAGCCAAGATTGAGTTTTTGCGCTTGCGCATCATCAAAGTCAAACAGAATCGCGAGCAGGCGGATCGCCTGAAGGCCGCACTCCAGCTAACAGATGAGCATGGTGTCCTGATAGCGGGCGGTGGCACTGGTATCGGCAGCATGCAGCCGCAGAGCCTGGAGACAACGCTGGAGGAGCGCATCGAGGAGCTGCGTCATCGGTTGCGCATCGAGGCAGCGGTCGTTGATGGAGCCAAGAATGTCATACGCACGCTGCAGACGGCGAATCGTGCGCCAGACAAGAAGGCGCTGCAGGAGGTGAGTGGGCGACAGATTTTTATTTTTTTTACCTTTCTGCTACTAAGCGTTAATTAGATTAACCTAAATTCTTAGAGCTGGCCGCGGGCCAGGTAAGCGGGTACGCGCGCGAACGGGCGGGCCATACGCTCGGCCTGCCCCCTAGTTAAAAAAGAGTGAGAGAGAGAGAGTCGACATTTGTGGCGTGTGCCACACGGCGTATGATTCATGTGCACATGCGTTGCGTATACGCGCCGTTTGCCTTAAGGCAATGCGCAGCAATCCAAGCAAAGAAAAAAAAAACAGAAAAAAACAAAACGAGGCTAATTACGCGGCTGTTGAAAATATTTCAATTTTTTCCTGCGTTTCTTTTGTCGTTCTTTATGCTTTTCATACTCTTGTACCATGAAATGTGTAACGCATAAATTGGGGCGTATCCGACCCCATAAAGTATGTATATTCCTGATCAGTATCAATAAGAGAGGCGCTTCTGTGCTAACTAGTCTCTCATTTTTAAAACTTTTGTCATGAAACTTTGCATAGATACGTCTTTAAGTAAAAGTTTAAGTCGGAATCGACGGGAACGAACCTTTAAGAATATTATGTAGACGACGTAGATACGCTTGTTTAACACCAAAGATGTTGTCCAAACTTATCATTTGCGAGATTTAATTAATATCGGTCTACTATATTCTTGGGCTCTAAAGGAAGAATCCTTTGAATAACCTATTTTCTTTTGAGCACATTTCTGTTTCTTAAGATTTATTGATCAAAGTCTCCATATATGCCAAACTGCACTACTATGCCAAATAGCACCCATTAGAACAATTAGTCGGAAATTAGGCTTTCGTATTTAATCGTTTCCTAGCCACTTGTCTACAAGGGTATTTATTTTCGGCGTGGCGATGAAAGCCGCTCTATCTTGCTTTTGTGTGTGTGTCTTTTAAGTGCTAACTGTCGCCTCATTAATTTACTGGCGAGTTCGCTTGCAAAATATGCTCGAAAATATGCACAGTATTTCAAAATGACATTTGGCCATGGACACGAGAGGCCCTACGCTTAGTGTAGTGTGGGTATATGCATTTTCTTAAGAGGTTTGAGTAAAATGGGAAGGAATGCAGAAATTGTCTGTTTGTTTATTGGTATTTTGTTGACCTACTAAATTCACTGAAAGTTTCTACGCCCTACAGTTAGTGTAGTGTGGGTATATGCATTTTCTTAAGCGGTTTGGGCAAAAGGGAAAATAATAAAGAATTTAGTTGTAGGCATTAGCAGTTTCTTAAGTTGGGTCAAAGCTTGAACATTCCAGAAATATTATTATTATACGCTGTTAACAAGTTTGAAAAGAGTTTATTGGCTTTCACCACTGTGCGTTTATCTATTTATCCGTGTTAATTGGAATTACCAATTATTTATACGTTTTATTTATACTATTCTACTTAATTTAAATCTTTTACGAGCATTTAAAGTACACAGCCTTCTTTATGTAGTCTACTGCAATACATTTCCTAGAGTATTCAAGCTTCTACAGTCTCTTGACGATTCCCCAATGCCACCTAGTTAATTTCACAATGTTTCCGACTTCCTGTCGCGTGGACAAATGGAATGTCTTGTCCGTGCTTGTGATTTATTCGTACAGCTGATGTTGTGGCTTGTTTTCTTTTCGTTTCCTTCTTTTTTTCTTTTGACTCCAATATAAGCTGCCCCCTATTGTATTATATGTACCAAAAACAAAAAAAGAGCGAATGTGGCCGGCCTATATAGAGCATACGTGTTCCATTCTATTTGCAGTGCGTATTTATTTGTTTTAAGATGCGACCGAGCGAGGGTGGGCGGCATGAAAATTCTGGCCGAAGTGCAGTTTTTGACAACAACAGATGCAAGCAAGGGGGGCAGGGGGCAGGGGGCCAATTGGTCGACAGATGTTTCTCCGAATGTTTCCTGGGCGATAAACAAAGGCAACAGCCAAATGCCCTTTGCTCGTTTTCGTGTGTTTGCTAAACATTAATAGAACTATGCTGAACACATACATATATGCATATAGAGTTTCTACGATCTATATCTATATATTTTCATGTATGTATATATGTGTCAATATGTTCGTGAAGAGAGCGCAGCCAAATTCTGTTTGTGTTCTGCCTGCTGCTCGTTTGAAAGCGGAAAAATTGTTTCTCTAGCGAATTTTCACGCATTTCAGTTTGAGTTCTGTTGCCGTTTGGGCTACGTGCGCGTGTTGTTGCGTTTTCTTTCTTTTTGTTTGCCGCGTGTCGTCTTTTATTTTTTGTTTAATTTTTTTTTTTTTAATTTTTTTAAAATAATTTTTAATTATTTTTCTTGGTTTGCGGCGCTTTTAGTGCATATTTTTTTGTCGGCTTAAAACTTTATGCATATGTAATTAAAAGAGACCGTCGCATAAACTATAAACGCTTAACACACGCACAACCATAGGCACACACACACATACACATGCACGACGTCACTCGAATTCCAGGCATTAAAAAGAAACATTACGCATACGCAGCGTGTTTCAAGTTTTTTAACTTCTTTTCTTTATTCCATTTAATAAAAAAATTGCGTAATTTTTTTTTTCTGTTTCAATTTTTTTCGCCTTGTTTTCGAGCTGCATTTTATTTTCGTGCGTGGTTTACGCGATTTGGCTTTTGGGGTCATATTGCGATTTTTAGTATTTTACAACAACTAAAACAGCAACAATAAATGGCGAGAGAATTTATAAATAAATGCACATAAAATTAGAAACACAATTTTACATGCCAAGTGGAAGAAAAAAAACAACAAAAAAAAAACAACATATATAAAATCGAAAGTGTTTTTGTGCGTGGCTGATTGAAGCTAAAAATAAAAAATTAAAATAAAAACCAAGAAATAAGAACAAAATAATAAAAGATCATAATAGAACGTATCAAAAGGCCACAAATAACAATATAAATCGCCCACGAAACGAGGGCAGCTTAATAGGTGCAATTCAAATGGAATAGAAATTAATTAAAGATAGTAATCCGTGTCTTTAAAAGAATACAAATAAATTAATAGAAATATATGAAGTGGAAAAGTATTTAAAAGATTCAAAAGGCCTTTAGGTTTCTCACAGAACTAAAAGGCGGCTTTTAGTTTCGAATGAGCTTTCAGTTTTTAAGATTTAGTTTTCTATAAAAATCAGGTATAAAAATAATTAAAATAAAATTACTTAAATTAGTTTTCAGTTTGCTCAATAAATTATACAATTTCTGCTGCTTTATTTCTTTTCGATATGTCTTTTGATTGAAAATTGAAAATTCGTTTTTCTTTTCGTTTATTTTAAAATTTGATGATTCAGATAGCAATATGTACGTCATATGCAGCCAATTATTAGGAACCATAAATTGTATGCTAGAAATTGTCTATGATGTTTATTTTTAAACCTCAAATATGCATTTTTTTTCTTTTCGATTTTAATTAGCCGTCAGAAATGATCAGCTTATTAAATATTTCATCTTTTGCTTTACCAAAGCTTTTAAACCATTTGCTAGTTTCAAAAGCATGGAACATATAATAAGAGTTTAATCGTTGAGCTGGGAGGTTATAATAAAAAAAGAGTTGAATATCTGTAAGAAATTTGCCGAACTATTTGAAAATATATAAGTCCGGCAAATTTCTATTATGAGGGGATGAAGTATGTCAGTTTAATTATAGATCTTGGAGTTTCTTATAAAGAAAGCAAATGAATATATCAATATAATATAGCAAATGAATATATCAGCTGAATCCTAGATCTTATGAACATTGAGGAAAATCAATATGATTCGGGATTATTAAAAAAAAAAACGTTTTATGAAAAGTTTACCTTCTATGGAACCGCCCTCGCGAAGCTTTTGTGTGTGTGCGTGTGCGTTTATGTTTGCCAAACTATCAAGAGCAACGATTTGTTGTGTATTTTTAGCTTAATCTAGAAGAATTTATAAAAAATTATAAAAACTATATGCCGCGTATCTGTGCAGATCGTGTGTTGTATATAGAAATTGAGCGGTACCTTGAGGCAACGTGAAAAAAGAAAACATGTGTGCCTAAAAGGTGGGGCCAGCGTCATGAGCAGCAGCATCAATCGCGGAGCGGAGGGTGATCAGCCCCCGCAGCCGCCGCAGCCGCCGTTGCCTCATGAGCTGACCGCCGAGTGGACAGTGCGTGCACAGCTGACATTCGCGCGGGCGGGCGGTGAGCCAGTGCAGCGGGAGTTTAGCGCGCAGGAGCCACTGCATCCGGTGCGTGTCGTGTACAAGTTGTGCACGCCAGCCGCAGAGGAGCACGAAACAGAGCCGGAGAAGGTAAGCAACTAATTGAAATTTGTAGAATTAAGAAAATGAGGCAAGAGTTAACGACATCAAATCTTAGGCAACGGCTGCGACAAGCTTTCGCAGCACCAATTCCTCGGCCACAACCTATGCGGATTCGGCATTTGGCAGTCCGCAGGCCTCGCGACACATACAGCCAACGGGTGAGGCGACGCCCGGCGGCGGGATTACCGCTCAGATGTGCGGCACGCGTTGCCGCAGCACCTGCAACATTGTTGTCTCCGCCGTGGCGGATTTTCTGCCGCAGCAGCAACAGCTGGAGGCGGCACTCAATGAGCCCTTTGTCTATCACAGCAAGGTGCATGCGCAGCAGCTGCGCGATGCCTGCTCACAGACCAGCGATTCGGAGGAGCGGCAGCAGCGTCGGCCCGCCTATGAACAGCGACGGGCCACGACCGAGGGGCTCATGAATTTTGCCAACAGGCGTCATGCGGAGGAGGCGAACACCTATGTGGTAAGCGGGAGTCCCTACAGCTTAACTCTTGTGTGACTAATCAGCGTCATTTTGCAGCCAACCTACTCGCCCACGCCGACGCCTGTTACGCCCTCGTCCACATTCAAGTCGGCCTCGATGTCGCGCATACCGCCGCTGTCAGCGGCTACGTCTCAGTCGACGCCCCGACTGCCTAATCAGGGCGAGAAAAAGCCGCGCACCGTGCACATTGATGTCTATTGCACGGGCTCCGAGGAGGATGAGGAACAGGCGGATGGCGAGGCCTCTAGCTCCGACACGGACAACAATAATGAGCACCATATGTACGATCTGGACTCCAATTCGACGCCACAAACGGTGCTGGACAATGAGCAGATGCTGTTGCGGCATCAGCGCATCTCGGGCGCCGCTCTGCCGCGTCGCCTGGCACAGAAGTCGCCGTTGCCATCCTCGAAGCAGCAGCAGCAACAGCAGAAGCTCAATTTGGGTCATGCCATAACCAAGTGCAGCACCGTCGAGGAGGTCAGCGAGTCCAAGCAGCTGCTGTTCCGCAAGCACATCGGGGATCAGCGTGCCGCCAAGCTGGCAAATCTGCGTCAGAAATATATGCGCCAACCGAGCGATGAGACGCAAAGCAGCGGCGCGTATCCCAATTCCTCACGCTCGACTGTGGCACGCGATGCCACCTGCAGCAGCGTGTCTAGCGTATTGGCTGGCGACTGTGTGGACACCTCGTGGAAGGACACAGATGAGGTGGATACATCCGGCCATGCTGCATTTGCAACGCTCACCAAATCCGACAGCTTTGACTATGAGAACTCGCTAGATCGCGTGCGCATCCGGCAAATGGAGCGGCTCTGGTCAAGGCAACACTCCGCAGAGCAGCTGCCGCACCATCACCAGCAGCAGCAGCATCACCAGCAGCATCAGCAGCAGACACTGCCGCTGGGTTCCACCTCGCCGCATCCGCCGCTGACAACCATAACGGAGGTGCGTTCGCAGCGTGGCTCGTTCCAGCGCAGCGATACGCTGCCCTCCGAATCGGATGGCTTCTCGGAGAGCAATGTGGGCTACAATACCTATCCAGGCCGGCAGCTGCAGCAGCTGTCGCATGCTGCACGCAACCGACCAGGTTTTCTGCAATTCTTTGGTCCGCCCGCAAGTCCTGAGCCGCCGCAGTCAGCGCCAGTTTTAGCTGCACCTGCTGCGGCCGCAGGCATGGATCCGTTCAGGCGTCTGCATCCTGGGTATCGTTGGAAGAGCGAAGCGCGCGATAATCTCAGCGTACAGGCAGCGCCTGGTTCGCCCTCCTCGGAGCGCAGCTCACCGCAGCTGCTTTCGACGGCCAGCACCGTGCTGCGCTGCGGCAGCGAGGCACCACCCAGCACCACATCGGCCACCACCTTTGGGCACTCCGTGGAGCCCTCGCCGCTGCCCGCGCGTCGCTTTCAGATCTCACGCGATAGTCCGAGCTTGGTCAGCGAGGCCTCCACCGTTGTCTCTGGCTATACGCACGAGCATCTGGAGAAGGCGCGTCGCTTCGGCAATGTGGTTGCCATGCGCAAGCCGGGCCATCACGTGGGACCCACCAAGAATCCCAACTGCCAGTGCGAGAGTTGCCAGCGCTGGCTGGCCGAACGTTTCCAGCTGCGCGGACGCGCCTTCTCTTTGGGGGAGCGCCCAATGCTGCGACGACCGCAGCCTTAGTTGGATTAGCTTTAGGAATTGAATATTTCAAAGAAAACCATGGCAGAGTCTGAAATATGTTACGAGAGAGATTAATGTAAATGTCCGTCTGCTTGTGATTTAATAAGAATTCTTTTAGAAACGATTTAACTCATTAGAAGCTATACTTAAGAAGAAAAAGAGAATGAAAGTTCTTCGATAAGTTTATCTTCGGAAAAGAAAATATAAGAAATCCCTCGAATCCGTTTTATTTCTCGAAGTGCAATAATGAGTTTCTCATTCGAAATGCATTCATTTAAAATCAAATTAAAATAATTTAAATATATACATAATTAAATAAAATAACTTTTATACATCTTTACTAAAATATTTGTTATTAAAATGTTAGGTTCTGACATTTTAGCATTTTAAACAATTTTTCGTGGAGTATTTATATTAAGGAATTTCTCAGCTAGCTTTTACGAAGCAAAAGATAACACATATATTTTTTTCAAGCTTTATAATTAGTCTATGATCTTCTTCTATATATTTTTCTCAGACAGATTTTGTTTTTAACTAAAAAGATTTTGTAGATATTTTAAAAAATAATATTTACAACATTTTTTTCACGTTTTTCACAGCTTATTATAAAAAAAACTCTGCAGTGGTCTTTAAACTTCGGTTATAATCGAGTTTAGTAATTTCTTAACTTTATTTATTTATTTATTATTTTTTTAGCATGCATTTAACACTCTAAATAAGTTCTCCCGCCCCTTAATCTACGCCACCCAATCCGATCGAACCCTACCTTGAAATAGAGACTTAAGTTAAAGATTGTTCACAAATGTTCCTCACACAAACATAAATGTGCGCTGAATAAGTTTATATGTTTTATATTAAAGTAATAAATAAAGAAATAAATAAAGTAGCGTGTAAACAATATATGGTTTTTATTCTCAAGAATATTTCGATAATAGAATCTAATCTAATAAATTGCAAATTGTATTCATATTTTCCAGGCGCACGGCCGTTTGTCGGAATCATCGCGTAAACTTGATCTCTTGCGCTACTCCTTGGAGCTGCGACGCCAGGAGCTGCCCACGGACTCGCCCACTGCCCAGCTGCTCAAGCAGGAGCTGCAGATTGTGCAGCAGTCGACATCGCCGGCGCCTGTACACTACACATCGCTGCAGTCTGGACCGGGCGGCCTGCTCGGTGGCAAGTCGTATCAATCCGTATCATCGTTGGGCCGCTGCGCCAGCGTCACGGGCAAGCTGGAGGTGCGCCTGATGGGCTGTCAGGATCTGTTGGAGGATGTGCCTGGGCGCTCGCGTCGCGACAAAGACAATAGCTCCAGTCCGGGTGATCTGCGCAGCTTTGTCAAGGGCGTCACCTCGCGCAGCAGCTCCAAGAGCTATTCGGTGAAGGATGAGACATCGATTGAAATTATGGCTGCCATTAAGCTGGACAACATTACCGTGGGACAGACCTCCTGGAAGCCATGCTCACAGCAGGCCTGGGATCAGCGCTTCTCCATCGATCTAGACCGCTCCCGGGAGCTGGAGATTGGCGTCTTTTGGCGCGACTGGCGCTCCCTGTGCGCTGTGAAGGTGCTGCGCCTGGAGGAGTTCATTGACGATGTGCGTCACGGCATGGCGCTGCAGCTGGAGCCGCAGGGCTTGCTCTTTGCCGAGATCAAATTTCTTAATCCGATGATCTCGCAAAAGCCCAAGCTGCGACGCCAGCGCATGATCTTCAATCGCCAGCAGGCCAAGAATATACCGCGCGCCAAGCAAATGAACATCAATGTGGCCACCTGGGGCCGTTTGCTCAAGCGCAATGCACCGAATCATGTACACATGGGCACTGGCAGCAATGCAGCTTCTATCACTGGTCGCGGCTCCTCGCCGTTGCCCAGCAGCGCCGCCTCGCGAGGCTCGGAGTCGCCCATATCGCGGACGCCCTCCTCAGATGCGCTGGCCATCGAACCTGAACCGTATTCGCCGGGCGAACAGGCCCAGAACATGGAATTCGATCCGGATGCAGGTCTGCACGAGCACGTCGAGACGCCTGGCGAGTATCCGGATCCCGCTGCTAGCGGCTTGAGCGGCCTGCGTCCGCTCTCCATGCACATGCAGGGCATCAGTGTGCTGCCGCCAGAGACGCCGCCGCCGCCACAGCCAGCGTCGAGCAGCGTCATCGCCCCCAATGCGGCTAGACCCAATTCGCTAAGCCTGCAAATGCCCGGCAAGACGCCGCCCGGACGCACTGCCGCGCCCACCACAGCGCCGCCGCCGCCGCCTGTGCTGAAGTCTGTGACGCCAGTGCTGGATCAGGAGGTAAGCAGCTTAATACTCTATGCCTGGCAACTGTATAGCAAAACCCTTCCTTACCTATACATATATACACACTCCTACTATACATATATATCTAAATATATTTATATATATATATATATATATATGGATACCTATATAGCTGTAATTCTGTAGCTGTTTTGATCTTTGTGCCTCTGCCAGAGCTGCCTCATTCTGTAAAATTATCCACACTCATGTATAGCCCATCCCATGTCATATACTCTGTGTTTGGTCATATTCGCTTTGGTGTTGGATTTTGTAACTGTACATATAGATATATCATCTGATTAGCAACCAAAACTCCATACAGAACAGAACTCGACATTGAGCACAAAATTGACTGCTGATATTTATAATTTGATATACAAATATGACGAACTATATGTTTCTGTCTGTTCCTTTTCATTATCATTACCTTTTACAGAGTGTAGGTTTCCTTAATAACCCTTTTTCGATAGTTATTTGCATACCTCAACAAAAGTAGTTTTTTTAACAAGTTAAAAAATTAGAGTCTTATTTAAGGTGTTTCAGTTATTTTTTACCTAGGTAGGAAAGATCTTATATCAGCTAGCCTCAATCTCAGCTTTAAACATTACTTTGAACTAGTTCTAAAATGTATATTATTTTGAAGCTTTTAATTCGCCTCAACAACATCTACAAACTACTTTCAACTAGTTTCATAAATCAAAGCCTGTTTTACTTAAAATATAACAATATTGTTATACTTTACATTTAAATAGTTGGTTCACCGACTCAAAGGTTTAAAAAATATAAAAAAAAATTAGTTGCTTGCTTAAGTTCACTTTTTAGATACATTTTGAACTAGTTCAAATAACCCAAGAAAACCCAGGATAGTCCTGCTGCGTTCATAGCTAGCTCAGGCAGCTAGATACTACATAGTTAAGCAGTTGAATTTCCGTTCATTTTAGTTCTTTTGAACTAGTTTCCAAAATCTAAATGCTAGCTGATTGAACATCCTTATTTTTTAAATGTTTTCCTAAGCTCCCTTTCCCTCTCTAGTCAAAAGGTTTTTGCAGCCATTAAATCCAGTTCTTTAGAACTAGTTGCCAAAATCCGCGTGCCATCTAAGCATCATAATTCACCAAACCTTCTCTCACATTGCTTACGCTTAGTTCCCTCTCTCTCTCTCTCTCTTTCTACCCCTCTCTTTCTGTTGATCAAAGTCGCAATATATTTCTTGCTCTTTCTCTGTATCATTTCTTTTCATCTCTTCAACTGTCTACATCATCATTCAACTCTCTCTTTTGTCCTGCTTTCTCTTCTACCTTATGTCGCCCACATATTTTGTTGCGGGTGTTCTTGTGATTCTGGGTGATTCTCTTGTCTGTCGCCTCTCGCCATTTTCTGCACGTTTCAAATTCTTTTCAACAGTCGTGAGCTTATCCTTCCCATTTCTTTGTCTGCTTTCTTCAACTCTCTTCCGCTTGCCTGCTGTTGCTTAATGCTTTGCCTGCCTGCGCGTGTGTGCGTGCGCGTGTGTGTGTCCTGTCATGATGCCGTTAATCGCCGACAGTTGCAGGACGCGTTGCATGAATTTGACTTCCTTTCCGAAATGGAATCACATCCAAACACGCTGCGCCGCCTGCTGCACACACAACAGTCGCCCGGCTGGCCCATGGAGCAGCTGCAGCTCGAACAGGAGCTGCTCGAGAAGCTGCAACAGCAGCGGGAGCAACAGCAAATGGATCAGCAGCCGCCGGGCAGACAGCATCCGCGCCTGGCCAATTTCTTGGATCGCACGGCAACGCTGCAGATCGTGCAGATACAGACCGTAATGCCCATGCAAGAGTCGCCGCCAGCGCCCCCTGAACCCGAACCCGAATCTGAACTAACCACCAATGTTCTGCCGCCCGCCAGTCGCCATACTCACCATGACCAGCAGCAGCACAGGCTAAGCGCAAGCGAGCTTTCCTTACCAATACGCAACCCGTTTCAGTTCCAGCTGCCCGAGAAGCCGCCTCCAGCTGCTTCAGTTGTGCCCAAACATTCGCCAACTCCGTCAAGGGGCGCCACCTCGGCGGTGGAGCAGCAAATGCATCGTCCAGTGTTGACGCTGCCGCCGGTGGTGCTCCTTGGCGGCCGGCGTGCGGATGATGAGGAGACCATGCCCTCCTCGCCACTGGTCGAGTATCCCGAGGATGATGATGAGTATTTGTACAGCGGTGGGCTGCAGTCCAGCCACAGTTCCAGTGCCGGCGATCGTTTCTGTGTGGAGGTTAGGAGGTTTTTTCATTTGATACCCTGTTTTATTTTTCGGCTATGGTTTGGTTTATGGTTTCGTTTTCGTTTTGTCTGTTAATTGAGTCCAATACTAATTAACCCATATGAGTTTCATGTTATTCATGTTGTTGGTGTTCTGTTATTGTTACTGTTACGGTTACTGTTAATGTCCCTTTGACAGCTACTTCAGCTTTATCTGTTGTCAAACTTCCTGCATTCACCCTAAATTCGCCTTAACGCAAAATTTTATTCGTGTACATAAATGCACTCACTCGCACACAACATTGAGCGCTATGTTATGTTAATAACAGCAACACAACATGCAACACAACATGCACATTTAGTACGCCTAACAGTGAGTGTTATTTTAACGTAAATTAACAGTATTGAACATTACACAGCTTTAACAGCACCTGCACATTTAGTTCAACTAACAGCACTTGCCATGTTCATGTAATTATAAAATAATGCAGCTAACTAGGCGCCAGAGCCAAAGCGCAGCTTTTACTGTAGAAATTTGTTAAATTAAGTTTAGTTTTATAAGTAATCTAACCCAACGAAAGCTCTGAATATTGCATAAAAAGTGTTTGACATGACAATTATAAGTGTTATTCACAGGAAACCAACAAAAATCGTTACTATCGATATTTTATCGACGTTTTGATTTCTCTACGGCGAATTATACTGTTAACAGTTGTGAGGCGCTTTTAAATAAAAAAGAACTTGCTAGGAACTTGCCTTAGATTGACAGCTTTTAGAAGTCCGAATTTTTCTGTTAGAGTTTTACTTTACGAGTGAGCACTGTATCTCGAACATTCTGACATCTAGAGATTACAGTTTTCAAGCAGGCTTTGCAAAAAATATCACAAGAAAAGCTATAAAAGAACTCTTCACAGGGTAAAGCCTCTTACTTCCAATTCGTATACGTTAAAGGAGCTATTAAAAAATGGGTCGTTACTCGCGTGAACCAGATAATGCCACCAAGTCGTGCAAGGCACGTGGTCCCAATCTACGTGTCCATTTCAAGAACACCTACGAGACCGCACAGGCCATCAAGCGCATGCCGCTGCGTCGTGCCCAGCGCTTCCTGAAGGCCGTCATGGAGCAGAAGGAGTGCGTGCCCTTCCGCCGTGCCACGGGCGGCGTCAGCCGCTGCGCCCAGGCCAAGCAGTGGAAGACCACACAGGGTCGCTGGCCCAAGAAGTCGGCCGAGTTTCTGTTGCAGCTGCTGCGCAACGCGGAGGCGAATGCCGATTACAAAGGACTCGATGCCGATCGCCTGGTCGTCGAGCACATTCAGGTGAATCGAGCTCAATGCCAGCGTCGTCGCATGTATCGTGCCCATGGTCGCATCAATCCCTATATGTCGTCGCCGTGCCACGTTGAGGTCATCCTGACCGAGAAGGAAGAGGTAGTTGCCAAGGTCGCCGCTGATGAGCCCACAAAGAAGAAGCTATCCAAGAAGAAGCTGCAGCGTCAAAAGGAGAAAATGTTGCGCTCTGAATAAAATGAGTTCCGGAACTGGGCAGTCCGGTTTTATAAAAACTGAGCCTTTTTTTCGAGTCCTTTACTGAATATTAAACAAAAGGGTTTTATGGAAATTGAGCCAAAAGTTGATAGAAAAATGCCAAATGCACTTACTTAGCTGATATGCCCTGCATAGCGTGCACTCGTTAACATTTGAAATCTAGCCAAAATCTGTGTCGCGTATAAATTTGACAATTTAAGAGCAGGAACCGAAGCGACAAATCATAAATAAATAACGTGTGCAAAATGAAATGTTAAATGAGACGATTTAAGTGCTTGAAATAGACAAGTTTATATTGAGGCATTCAAATGGGGAACAACAAACAATCATTTCACGTGCCAGCAAATGTCTTTTATTCGAACGTATCGCACAGTGTCACCCTGTATATGTTTGTCTTTTGCCTAAGTGTCACCCTGTGTTGCCATCACATATTGCACCTAAGCGAAACGTCAGCATTTTGTCTATCTTTTTTCTCTTTTATTATTATCATGTTCTTTTTTGTTTAATGCCCATTCACGTTGCAAAATAGTATATATATATTAATGTGCTATATCGGTGCTATATGCTCTATACTACATAGTACTTAGCACATTTTTAGACCTTTGGCGACGCAAAAAGGTGTCCAAAAAAATTGCTTTGGCCTCTCTGGTCATGACTTTGGCCACTCGCTGTTTAGCCTTATTCAGTTGTTGTTAGCCAAGCGCCGCAAATCGAACAGTTTGTCGTTATGGTGGAAGCGCCATAATGTTGTTGCCAACATTTCTGGCATTTGCGCAGCTGGTGCGGCAGGTGTGTGCGCTGCAGCAGCAACAGCAACAACAACAGCAACAGCATTCACATCAATTTCATCAATTGGCCTTGGCCAGGCCGCTGCAACAGCTGGTGCTGACAGCAACAACGAGCACTGCACCCGTATGTGTTGTTTGTTTTCAGTCGTGTTTGGCTTCTGCTACTCTAAACAAAATAAAACACAAAACTCTTGCAGGCAAAAATCAATCTTGTACATATAACCATCGAACCCCTTGAAGCGTCACCAACACCCAGCAGCAACAGCAGCAGCAGCAAAAGCGGCAGCAACAGCAGCAGCGGCAGCTGCCTCATAGAGGATGCCACAGCGGAGCCTATGGCTATCGAAAGTGTTTTAATAGAAAGCGTTGAGTCTGTTCAACCGCTCGACGAGGTAAAAGTTGCCCATCTACAGCAATTATTCAGAGCTTTTGCAGTTGCACAAAAAACTAACTAACTATAAATAAATGAAGCTTTACAATTACATTAACCAATTTCCATTTGCGTATAGGTCATACCGCAGCTGGGCAAGCTCTATGTGGGCACACAGCAGCAGCAGCAGCAGCAGTCGGCCTATGTGCAGTCCTCGCCCATTATACAGGAGCCGCCCACGCCCACCATTTATGGCAACAGCGCTGCGGCCGTCGTTGCACCACAATTCCCGCAGCCCGCACAGCGCCAGGACAAACAACAACAACAACAGCAGCAGCAGCAGCAACAACAACAACCCATCTATGCCAATCAATACGAGCTGAATGTGGCCAAGGCCACGGCAGCGGGCGCCTCAACCAGCGGCCGGCGGAATGTGGCACGTGGCCTGCAGTATCGCGAGCCAGCCGGCTATGAGGCGCTGCGTGCTGGTCAAGCGCCACCAAATGCTGGCATGTTGTCCATGGACAATTTCCGGCTGTTGAGCGTGCTGGGGCGCGGACACTTTGGCAAGGTGATATTGTCGCAGCTGCGCAGCAACAATCAGTACTATGCCATCAAGGCGCTCAAGAAGGGCGACATTATCGCCCGCGACGAGGTCGAGTCGCTGCTCAGCGAGAAGCGCATCTTTGAGGTGGCCAATGCCATGCGGCATCCGTTCTTAGTCAATTTGTATTCGTGTTTCCAGACAGAGGTAAGTGTTAAGCTGTAATCATGCTTAGTTAAGGCAATTACAAAATAAATATTACAATTAAACCTCTATTTATTTTAGCAACACGTCTGCTTTGTTATGGAATACGCCGCCGGCGGTGATCTGATGATGCACATCCACACAGATGTGTTTTTGGAGCCGCGAGCTGTGTTCTATGCGGCGTGTGTGGTGCTGGGTCTGCAGTATCTGCACGAGAACAAGATCATCTATCGGGATCTGAAGCTGGATAACTTGCTGCTCGACACGGATGGCTATGTCAAGATTGCCGATTTCGGTTTGTGCAAGGAGGGCATGGGCTTTGGCGATCGCACTGGCACATTCTGCGGCACGCCCGAGTTTCTGGCGCCCGAGGTGCTAACGGAGACTTCATATACACGCGCCGTCGACTGGTGGGGACTCGGTGTGCTCATCTTTGAGATGCTGGTGGGCGAGGTGAGTGTGCTGGCAAGTGTTTAAATTGAACAGGGTATTGAATTGTTGTTTAACTTTAACAGTCACCTTTTCCCGGCGACGATGAAGAGGAAGTCTTTGATTCAATTGTTAACGATGAGGTGCGCTATCCGCGTTTCCTCTCACTGGAGGCCATAGCCGTCATGCGTCGGGTAAGTGCTAAAAATGGAATACAATCAAGTTCCATTTAGCTAACTTTTCAATATTCAACTTTGCAGCTGCTGCGCAAGAATCCGGAGCGTCGGTTGGGCTCATCGGAACGCGATGCGGAGGATGTCAAGAAGCAGGCGTTCTTCCGCTCCATCGTTTGGGACGATTTACTGCTGCGTAAAGTCAAGCCACCATTTGTGCCCACCATTGTAAGTGCCACTCAACGCCAACGCCAAAGCTGGCTGGCTTGATGCAACTATCTAAAACACACAATTTGTATGCATTGCAGAACCATTTGGAGGATGTCTCGAACTTTGATGAGGAGTTTACGTCGGAGAAGGCGCAGCTAACGCCGCCAAAGGAGCCGCGACACTTAAGCGACGAGGAGCAGTTGCTTTTCCAGGACTTTTCATATACGGCCGAGTGGTGTTAATGCTTCACCCCCTCTCTTAGACTTAATGCAACGGCCCGGGGCCTAGCTCAGTTAAATAAGTTGAATAATGCTTTTAAACATGTGCAGCGAGTTGTTTAGCCACATGAGAATTCGAGGATGAAACCCGATATATAGATATATATCTGTAGTAAATATATTGTATAAACCTTGTGCATGTTGCTCAGAAGCATTGACCAAATTGCCTAGAATATTCTACATAAATGTAAACCTGCATCCATCAATCATATACATACATATATCGATCATGTATACATTATATCAAGTCATCGACAGCTGCTAAATTAATATATATACATATATATATATATATACACCCAACTCATTGTCACGGAGGGGTTAACAAATTGTGAATTGTATTTCGTTTCGGTTGATATTTTCCTAATCAAATATATTGAACAGTCTGACGAACCTTTGGAAAGCCTTAAATGCAACGTTGTAGAATTTTTGGACAGATTTTTGTTATCATAAAGAAAAGAAAGCCAGGTTCTATATTTTGTATAGATGTTAAATGAGAAAGAAAGAGAACGATATGTATACACAGCTATTTTACAAGCGCCAGTAGATGAGTTTTAGGGCAGAAAACAAACACATACACACACACACACCCCCACACATATGCATACCTATTTTCATAAAAAACATACAAATCACATTTAAAATGTTGAGAGAACAAAATGAAATAAGTCATAATATTGTGTATGCACTTTAATTAATTATACACACATATAAAAATATATTTAAAGAGCTCATCTTATATATATATATATATACATATATACACACATGTACGCACCTAAAACGAAATATTTAAAATTATAAAACTGTATATTTTTTATTTCCGCCTCTATATTAACTGCTCAGCCTCATTGCCCGAGTTGAAATATATATTATTTTAATTATTTTTTAAATTATATACATACATGCTTATACATTTGTTATTTATTATTGTATTTTAAAACAAACAACAAACATAAAAACTGTATTGCTTTGAGCATTTTTAAAATTTTTTTAAAAACTTGATTTAATTTTTTAAAAAAATGATTTGATTGTATGCGGGTGCACGCTTTAAAAAAAAATACCGCAAAGAAACGTTTGAGAAATTCCCAACAAGAATTTCTCAATTGCATGCAATCAGATTGTTGATAAACTTAAGATATCTATGCTATAATTAATGTAATTTTTAATTTGTATCTAAGTTGTAGCATTCGATAATTGAAATTAAGTTACAATAATGTCGAGCTAATTATACTACGATTATTGATTATAATTATGATTATGCACGCGCCGGAATGCAGCGAGATCTATTGTCATTTTTATTATGTGCACAGCCTCGAGGTATTTACTTTGGGATAGTATTGGATATTGTCATCATGACATGGGGCATCCCAGATCTGGGGCTATACACATAATTGTTATTTATGCAGAACTATGATATGATTTTGAATAAATGTATCTATCGCTATTTAATAAATGCAGTTTTCCTCTACAACACAAGGGCTTAAAGAAAGTTTAAGCTTTGAAATTTGACAGATTTGCGAATAATAACCAGATTAAAGACACAATGCCCAAACTATTTTTCCTTAAAGCCCTCTGTCATTTGATAGTACAGAATGTTGCCCGTAGTATCAACTATGGCGACAATGATAATGCAGTTCAACAGCTTCTGCTGCAGCACTTTTATCAGCTCAAAGTCAAGATCCTTGGAGTGCTGTGTGGGGATATATGCCATCATCTGTTGATGCTCCTTATTTTGGGCGCTCCAATAAAACTCGCCCGTATCCCGCTCCAACTTCGGCTGTATGTTGCTCAGGCGTTCATCTGTAAACTCCGAATTGGTAATCACTTAATAACCATTATTTAAACTATTCTAATTACCATTTGTTAAGTCCTTGTGCACTATCTGGGCTAAGGCGCGTGTCAAGCCATTTAAATCGGGGCAAATAGTGTCCAAATCCTGAAAGCATTTATAAGTATGTCATAAAAGCTTAGCGCATCGTTAAAAGGCAACTGTTTTGCTACTTACCATAGCTGTAAAACTGCGTATTTATTTCAAGTATTAAAAAACACAAATTTGAGTTAAAATTCTTGTTTCAAATTAATTTTTGACACATTTCGTGCACAACAACCGGCAAGCAAACCCGATAAACAGCTGTTTCGTGCTTGGCTGACGTCAGCATTGACCAGCCCATGGCAGTGTTGCACAGTACCGAAAATTTGGCGGAATGTTCAAAGTGAATATAGTGCCTGCGCTTCACAAAAATTTAAAATATATGTTTAATTTCAATACCTATTTCTTATCTTGCTACTAATTTAATGTCATATTGCATAATATATAAATAATTTATTTATATTTATTTCCAGACTCCTAGTGAAGGCAATGCTCAATGTGTGTGCACGGAACAACGCGCTGGCAGCGAGAGAGTGTGCATGTGAGAGATAAATTAGGAATGAACCCATTGAGTAATAAATATGTATTTAATTGCGAAATTCAGAGAGCGAGCGAGTTATGAACGAGAGAGATATGCCCACTGTGAGCACGCTATTGGCCGCAACGGTTCTGATCCCGTTATCTCAGCTGTGGCGTGAGCGTAACTTCCAAAAGAGTTTTGTGCTCTTAGTTGTTGTTGGTTTTAATTAGGCAATTTAGTCTGTGCGCGTCTGTCCTTTCGATCGGTTGGTTTTGCTCGTCGGTCGTCCGTTGATCGTTAAAAAGTTTTTCTATCAAAGTGAAATTAACTTATTATTGTTAAACGTTGTAAGTTGGTGGCGTATGTGTTTGTTAACTATTATAAACAGGTATATCTACCACACGAACAGTGCTCGCGAAGGTGTATTTAACAATCGGTAAAGTACGAGAGATTTTTCACTAAAAGCAAAATGGCTGCACATGCATTTGATTCAAAGAAATCCAGAGACTGAGAAAGAGCGAGTGAGTGAAGTTCTTTATTGTGCTGTATGTATGCCTATGTATGTACATATTTTTATATAATACAGTTACTTACTTAATCTCCCTTTTTATCTATTGCAAGAAAGTATTTTTCTTTCCAAACCAGTCGCTTAGTTTTTAAGCTATATAAGTGGAAGTTAATATTATTTTGCTATATAACAACATTTTCCTTATGCCAATAATATTAAATTATTGCTTTAACAATCGATACCATAAAATATATGTGCATAAACAGAAGCGCCAGACATTGTCTTTGTCTCAGCCAACTGCGCAACTTGGGCACTTGACACTTGACTTCCAAGATGCCAGTTCCCAGTTCTCAGTTCCCGGTCTCTTTCCTCGCCGGCAGCGCACTCCACTCGCAGACGTTGCAGACAACAATAAAGGGGGAAAAAACAAGACTACAAATTATGCTAAATAGATGCAGTTAGCTGGGAGAATGGGCCAGGATATGCATGCAAAGCAGCAAAAGGGCTGCCTGAATCCAGTCCTTGTGCCCGGAGTCTCTGTGCATGTGATAAGGGTTTGGCAGTCAGCGATTTGCACATGTGCGCCAACAGCATATTAATGTGTGTGTGTGTGGGTGTGTGTGTTTGTGAGTGTATGAGTGTACTCTCTATCTTCAGCTGGTTGTCGTACGATAAGTAAGTTTTGGGCACAGACTGCCGAGCTGCATGGTCTATGCAGATAAGTGTTCGCTCAAATGTCAGTTAATGTTTCACTGTAGCCACCATCCAGTGGAGAGGCTATTCAATTAGGCGCTCGGCTGGCTGCCGTTGGGTTACCTGCAACTGAAACTGAAACCAAATGCCAAGTTGCCAGCTTGAAAAGCAGGCAGCAAACTAAACCGGATGCTGCGGTCGATGGCCATTATTGAACTTGTCAATGACAGTGCCTGGCCCAGCAGGAGGAGCTGCAGGAGCAGCAGGAACAGGACCTGAAGCTCAAGCTCGAGCTGAAGCAGTCTGGGCAATTACAGTGGCAAACAAGGCAGCTTACGACAACGATACGGAACAACAGTTATTACAATTGCAAACACACACATACACACACACACACACGCGCCGTCCTGCCTGCCGTCCTGTGTGCGTACGTGCGGTCACTTAATGCTGTTTGGCCGAGCAAAGTTGTGCGTGTTGTCCTTAGCCGCTTCCGGTGCCATGCACACTGGCCACGGACTCCATACTCTGCAGACATGTTGTCCTGACCATCGGACATGTGCGTGCGTGCAGTTAAGCATAATATTATTTGCACTTGCTGCCCTCTTATCCACACGCACACACACACACACACACACGCAGCCAAAATGGCAAATTTCTGCTGGTCAGTCAGATGAACTCGTAGTCATAACCATTCGGCAGCCAAAATGTGAGCGTTTATGGCTTCATGCTGATTATGTATATGTACTTCTGCTTGCAACATTCAATTAAGTTGCAATGACACCTGTTGAAAGTGGCTTACAAAATAATATCTATTAGGAGATATTTTTAATGCTTATAAAGAAATTATTTAAGGCTAGAAGTGAGTGTGAATGTCATAATTTTTGCATTTTGCTTAATTTAAAGTGCTTTCAAAATATCAGCTAAGATTGTTAAATAGTTAAACAGCATTCAATACCTCTACTACTAAGACTATGTGCTTTTCAAATCTCTTAACAAGGTGCTTTAAAATACAAACAAGGGAGAGGAGATTAACCAAAAGATTAAAAAATATATATTGAATGAAAAGGAAGAGCTAAGGTTCGAGGAAGGAAATGGGAATGGGAAATGCGACCAATTAACATTATAATATCGCTCATATCAAGTTAAATAATCTTAAATTTGAGCTACTAGCGGAAAAATTAAACTTATATCAGTAATTTAATTGAAGTCAAAAATATAGGAAAAAAAGTTACCGGCTTTAAAAGCACATTAATAGATTATCAAATGCACTTAAAAGTTTTAGTAAATAAAGCTACATTAAAGTCAAAGCCTTAAAGAAAGTTTCTAACTTTAAATATTAAAGCTAAATAAACGCGCATTTAAAGGGTAATGGGAGCTTTCACATCGCCCCCTTGCCAAAGCGTTTAAATCAATTAGAGCTCAACTTTCAGCTTTGAATTTTTCCCAACTTTAAATATTAAAACTACAAGCAAGCGCAATTTAAGCGTAATGGAAGCTTTCACCTTGTTTAACTGCCAAATTGTGTAAACAAATTAAAGCTCAACTTTCAGCTCGTGTCATTAGCATCGGGTTAATTTGCGCTTGACTGCATTGTTTTTTATTGCTTTGACTTTAATTAAAACTGCGAGCGGCCCAATAAACTTGAATGGCGCGCTAATAACTGTGCAACACTTTTTGTTGGGTCAACAATTTACCTGTGGGAGGAAGAGGAGGAGGAGATAATGAGGTGAACCATGTGATTCGCATGCTGACTGTGTCTGTTGCTCCCACTGGACAGAGGACACTGAACATGTGGCATACAGTGCATGCAAATAGTGTGCGCACATTTGGCCACTTAGCATATTTGCAGCCAATGGGGCAACAGTTGTGTGTGGGTGTGTGTGTTTGTGTGTGCCCTAGCTTGGGCACTTTGAGGCATGCCACGGGGAGACTTTTAATTGAACTTTTGCAACAACACCGCGGGGATCAATTGAGATTTATTGGCAGTACGTGTCGCTGTGGCGTGTATGTATTGCTCGGGGAGCCGAATGTGGCACGAATGTGGCTCGAATGTTGGCTCGAATGTTGGTCTGCGACTGTGGCTTTTGGTAAATTACGTGACGTAAGCAAGCAATTAATGTTTTATTTAATTTACACAACGACAGAACTTGGCTTCGATGCAGAGTTGGAAACTCGTTAGCTGCCCTTTCCTTCCCTTCCCTCACACACATACACACACACACACACACACACCCCGGCCGCCCAATCTCGACTGGCTGCAAACTTTTACTTGCAAATGTTCTAATGTCATTTGCAATTCAATGCGAATATGGCCTAATTACGCCACAACAGCTGCAAAACTTGTTAAACTTTTTGCAAACATTTTGTACTTGTGCGACTGCTATTCAATTTTCCACACACACACACAAATTTGTGTGGCAACAGTTATTTAACTGGCAGCTCATGAAATTCCTTTTTACAACTTTAATCACAATTTAAGCATCCATTAATGACTTAATGGCTTTTGGCCCTCTCTCTCTCTCTTTTGTCGCATTGTCTGAGCTGTGCGTCAAAATGCTTTTGCCGCATCATTGGCAATGCAATTAACTATGCCGGCCCAGTGTCGCGGGTAATTAGAGGAAGCCACCAGAACTGACCACCAGCCACTTGACGCGCTTTTCATTTAAGCGCAGTTTTCGTTTTTCCTTTTTAGTTTTGGTTGCTTTGCGTTTAATGGATTTGTATGACTGCGCGTGAAATTTCATTAAAACTCGATAATTGCATGACACGACAGGATTTTTGGTTCCCCATGCAACTTTTGCTTATCGCGCATACGCCCGGTTAGCTCTCGTCCTCGTCCTCGCTCTCGCCCCCGCCGCCTGCCTCATGCCACAGACGCCGTCAGACATTGTCTTTCGCTTGAGACGCCGGCAAGTCTGCAATTGATTTAATTATAAGATTCCTTCGATTGCAATTGATTCGAGTTGAAGCTACTCGATTCGTTTTCGTTTTTCGACCCCAAGCAATTTATTTGGCTTGCAACGCCCACCATGCCCAGGACGCCCAAGCAGGCAATGACAGTGTAATTGCACTGCAAAAGCACTAATCATTATCTGATTACTTTCAGATACTTGAGTGAAATATATAGATATCGATTGATACGTTTTGCTCAATCGTAAACCAAATCATTCTAAGCAAATGGATGCTTGAAAACACAAACCGACTCCCGAATGGATTACGACTTTGATTATTTCTCAAGCAACAAGGAATATACAAAATTTGTATGGACATGACGGGCATGTCTGTCCGTTTGTCTTTCTGTTTAACCTTTATCTTAATGTTACTTGGCATCAAACCATGATTTAGCAGCAGGCTGGAACTGGTTGTCATAGGAATTATCGTTTAAGAAACACAATTTGGGTATAAAAAAATTGTTTGTTTTGGAATATTCATAAAAATACCCAAGCTTTATATCAACTCACTTTAAGGTTTGAATCGATTTGCTGATGCGAACCTTGGTTCTTCATATTTTATCATACATCGAAAAAATAACTAAATTAAAGAGATATTTCTTTTTAGGCTATAAATAAATTT